CTAACTATTTGAACAATGGACTGAATAACATGATAGGCCAGTACAATCATACTGGGCAGTATTTAGAAGGACCTGAAATCTATAAAAGTGCTTTTAAGCCAGTACATAGCATTCCTAGTATGGCAATAGATCAAAATATGCTGCTGAATAACATAAATGGCTTAGACCTTTCTTCTGCCATTCGAGCCTCTATCGATGGCAGCTTGGATAGCTTAGCGTATGGTGCATACAGTGGACAAGGTTTTAACCCAATTAGCACAATAGGAAGCCAGAGTGTCCAGTTTAATCCACTTATACCAGGGCCTAGTCTGCTTGGGTATCCCTTTAATCCGATGTACAGTATGCCTAGCACATCAAGAGAAACAGATCGAATAGATGATGAAGTTGCCATCAATTCACACGCACACAATCCAAAAGAGAATGAATATGAACCCTTAGTAGAGCAGCCTAATACAGAAGAAGCATCTGAACAACAAGCTATTGTAGAGTCTAATTCTGATGAAAATGCTTCTAACAAAAAAAGAAAAAGTGTTATACAGACCATCGGACAAAAAAGAAAAGCTAGGGAAATAGAAATAGAGTCAGACAGCTCCATAGATGTACTTGAACTTCCGCCTACGCTCGAGAATAAGAGAGAAAGAAGAGAAGAAGATGCATCAAAAGAAATGGCAGATATTATATGTTTGGCAGAAGAGGCTGAGGACATAGAAAAAAATAACGAAGAGTTGGTGCATACGAACAAACCGCAGTTGTCTATAGGCGCTGAAAAAAAAGAAAAAAAATTAAACCATTACAACATTCTATTGTGGAATAACAAAAGACTTGACAATAAAAGAAGAACGAGCTACAAAGGACACCACATAACGGTATACAAACATCACTGTGCAGGTTTTATTTCCAATGCACCACAAGAAATAATAGCAAACTTCTACCAGGAAAAGATTAAGAAAGAAATAGAAAAATTTTCCAGTCAGATTGCTTCATTAATAGAACAGAATCCATTTTGGTACTTCGTTGCAAGTAGAACTAAAAATATAAACATAAGATACAAAGATCTTTTCGGACTAAAACACTTGCTTAGTAGCAAGGATAGCCCGAGACACAAGGAAATGCTAATGAATCTCGAAGGATACTATCCAGGAGTGGTTGACGATATGATTGAATACACAAGAAAACACAGACCGCTGAGAGCCAGCCAAGAGTCTCCTTCAAGTAAGTGGAGGGAAACCTTGGGGGATATCTATGTTCGAAAAAGCCTAGATCTAAACTACAAGATGGTACAGGGCCAGGACAAGAACAGCCAGGTGGAAGAAAAATATTCTTTGCTGGCCGAGGCTCTGCGCATGATTCAGGTGCTGCCTGAAGTGTATCAGGACTTTTCTACCATCGATAAAATTTTCATAAAAGGCACAGAGATCTCTGAAAACCCAAATATAAACAAAAAAAACCACCAAGTTCTACTATCCCTACGTAAGTTAGTAAGAAAAACAGCAGAAGACAACAAAATAATAGAAGATGAGTATGAGAACATCCATAGCGCTCTTGAGAGCATATACGAGAAAGACCCACAAAAAGAGCCAACAGTCGCTGAGCTCTATAAGAAGCTGTACATGATTCTTGCAGATTTCTATAAAAAAGCGCTAGTTTTCGAAAGCGCTAACTATGTCTTAGCAGGGAAGTGTGTTATAAAGCATCAACGGTATATTGCATGCAAGGCGTCTTTGGGCCTAGTCTCAGAGAACAGCAAGAACTTTGTGCGGGCATATGACCATTTTTACTCATTTAATATGAACAAATGGGATGTGTCAGTTGACGTAAAGCCACACTATCATATTTACTATGTGGACAACACAACACACCAGCTCAGAATGCTGTGCATGCCCAAATACAAAGAAGAAGGCAGTGGTGAAGAGCACTATCTGCATACAATTAACAGCATAGTAAATCACATAAAAATGATATACGGGATAAGAATAAAAACAGATGTCATACACCCGTTTAAGGTAAAAAAAGGAACCAGAAAGTGGACATACATCGAGAAAAAAGACAGAAACAAAACCGTAAAAGACTTGGAAGAGTACAAGGTAGTGTTCTACCACATCGTGGAGAACCTAGAAACAACGAAATTTGCGTTTGCAGAGTTCTGGTCTTTAAACTCTCTGAAAAAAGACACCATTTGCATACCGCTGTTCCTTACTCCTCTGATGCAGTCTGCAGTGGAGCTGGGCCCCTTTAAAAAGAAAAAAGGGTATGCAGAGATAAATCCAGTAGAGTTTAAAGATAGAGTGGCTGATGTGTACAAGTTCAACAGTGTGTACAAACATCCAAAGTATTCAGACGTGCACAGATACTACAGCAATCTGTACATACTGCCAGATGAAGAGAAGAAGGGAAGCCCAGAATGCTATGTTATGGACTACCAGACACATAGACAGCCAGACAATTCCATTAAAGTTACATGGAATGTGAGAATGCCAAGAAGCGTGAATGAGTACACACACTACATGCCCGAGAAAAGCTCCAGAGAAAAGGAAAGCAAAAAAAAGTTCAATAATTTTATTAGCGTACTGGAGTCAAGAGAATACAACAAAGACAGCGAATTAGAAGGTGTTTGGCTGAGAAATGGCAGCATCGAAGACAAAGAGCTGGAAAATCAGGCAAAAACCCTGCACACATGGCATGCAAGCATTGAAGAGGTGAAATATGAAACTAGACTGAAGAATCTGGAGATAATCAAGAAAAAGATAAAGAAAGCGGAAGAAGAGTTTGCAATTGCAGAAGAGAAACAAGCGAATCTGATTGCACTGAGCAAAAGAAGTGATGCAATGAAGGCGGAAAATGAAAAAAAGATAGCCAACATTACAAGCACAAAAAGTAAGGCAAAAGTAAAACTGGAAGTCCTGCAAAAAGAGCTCTACAAAGCAATGTCCGAGAAGCCAGATGACGAAGCAGAGTTCATAATTTTCCGCAATATGAACAAGAGTAAGTCCAATCTAGGAGCACACAATGAGATTCTTGATGCTTTAATCTCGTCCTACAACCATTAAAGGAAGTCTATAGAAAATAAACAGAACTTATTTGACTTGCATTATTACTCTGCTGAAATAATATTTAGAAAGAAAATAAAACTTAAGTGTATACGAATAGACAGAATTTTATTTTTACTTTTTATTTGTCTAATGATTAACTCTTCTGCTATTGGTGCCTTTACTGCCGCATTTTATTGGCAAAACTCTATAAAAGTATCCAATTGGCTTATTGAGAAAAGGTGGCTCTTTTTGTACAAAATGCAAGAGAAAGTGTGATGGCTTATTGAACTGCTGACTATTTGTTTAGTAAAATGCTTTAATTATCTTGTGCTTGTTTACAGAGCAGAAACTTAACTAGTTAAATAGCAATGAATTTTAAACAGAAAATGAGTTTACTAGGCTATAAAACCAGCACTAGTCAGGAAGAAAAGATAGCACACAGACAAAGTAGGTAAGAAAGCAGTGATAAATGTAAGTTTGTAGAATGTTTGAATATTATCAAGAGATTATGCAGCGAAGTACGAAAATGCAGGGGTAAGGAGTACGGGGGTCGTTCCAACTGAAAAGTACAAATAGAAAAAAATGATATTTTCTTATGAAAAATCATAAAACGAAGAAAATACTAAATATATTTGTGATGCTTCTTTCTCTTTATATTAGAAAGTGCAGAGGAGGAAGCAATTTTTCTAGTGAAGAAACAACTGATGATTCAATGCAAGGAGGAGGTAATGTTTCTGGTGAAGAAACAACTGATGATTCAATGCAAGGAGGAAATAGTGTTTCTAGTGAAGAAACAACTGATGATTCAATGCAAGGAGAAAGTAGATTAGGTTATTCTTTTGCTAATCAAGGTAGGAATAATTCTAATTCGCAGCAGAGCACGCTGCCCTTAGACCCAGTAGAAAGTATATTTGATAAGAGCAAACGTACAAACCAGGTGTCTGTTCTAGAGCATATTATAGATCCTAGAATTGATCATATTAAAGTAAAAGAATCATGGGATAAATTACCACCAGAAATAGAAGACATGACAAAACAGTATTTATTACCCCAAGAAGACGAAGAAATAAATAAACCAAGTGAAAATACTGGTGACAGAATAGACAGCGCTAGCAGCCCACAGAGAGCAGAAAAAAGAAAAGCTGATAAAATGAGCAACTCGAATGATGAATTAGATCTAGATGTATTAAAAAAGACAAAAAAAGAATCTGTAGAAAAAATAATGAAACAATATGGTATTATTCGATGGAACGAGAAAAGATTCAAAAATATAACCCGAGATAAATATAGAATGAGCTATACAATACTAACTGAAACCACATATCGAAAAAACCTTCTAATTAATGCAGTAAAAAGTAAGACATATCAAACAAATCTTAAAAGAGAAATTCTGGACTTTGCAAAAAATATTTCTCCATTGGCAAAGCATGATAGGCTGTACCACTTTATTGCAAGCAGAACTACAAACTTATATATGAAGTATAAAGATCTTCTAGGATTGGAGGAGTTGTTTAAACATAAAGAAAACAAAAAGTATATAGATATAGTAAAAAATTTTAGTGGATACTATCCTAAAGTATTCGAAGATCTAATATCTTACATAGAAAAGCATATGCCACTGCGAATTAATAAAGACAGGCCTCCAACTGAATGGAAGAGAAGTTTTGGTGATATTTACATGAGCGAATATCTTGAAATGAACTACAGTATAGTTGTTAAACAGAAAGTAATTTCTCAAATAGACAAGGAGTATCATGCACTGGTACATGCTATGCACATGATTATAATGCTGCCTGAAGTGTACAAAGACTTTTCCAAAATTGATGAAAAGTTTATAGAAGATACACCTGTTTCAATGAAAATGGCTGAAAATAAAAAAAGTCGTGATATTTTACTGATAATAAAGAAAGTAGTGCAAATGTACAAAAAAGAAAAAATAGACAATAATGTATACAAAGACCTATACACTGCTCTCAAAGACGTGCAAAGAAAAAAAGAGCTGGAAAAAACAACAGCTGTTGAACTATATAAAGAAATATACACTCTTCTTGGTAAGTTCTACGAAAAAGCAAAAGTAGCTGACGTAAAAAATAAATATATTCTAGCAGGCAAGTGCATAATAAGAAATCAGAAGTACATGAAAGGAGAGATAAAGATAGATATGAAACAAACAGATGCGAGTAAGAGAATATCAATCCAAGATTATTCATTTGAGGAGGAGAACAGATGGAATGTTTCGCCAATTGTGCATACACACTACCATGTGTACTATATAGACAATCTATTGGGCCAGCCAAGAAAGCTCTGCATGCCAATATTTAAGGGAAAAAAAGATAAAAAAGAACATTATTTACATACAATTAGCGACATAGTAAAGTATATAAAGAAGCTATATGGAATAGAAGAGAGTTTAAATGCTATACATCCTTTTAAGGTAAATAAGAAAGATAGAAAATGGTCGCGCATTGAAGGAAAGGAAAAAGATAAAACAGTGAAATACTTTGTAAGATGTGAAATAGTATTCTACTACAGCGAAGAAGACTTAAGCACAATAGAATTTACATTTGCTCAGTTCTTGCCAGGAAAACCTTATGGTAAAGGTAAAAAAATCATTTCCATTCCACTCTTCCTCAGTCCTCTAATGCAGCATGCTATGGATTTAGGGCCTTTTAACGAGAAAGAAGGAAAAGAGCACAAAAAGCTAAAATTTATGAATTTTGAAGCTGTAAGTCCTGATGTATACGAGTTTAATAAGAAGTATAAAAAAAATATCTATTCAGATATAGCTAGTTACTATAGAAATCTATGCATACTTCCTGATAAAATAAGTACAGAGTGCTATATTATGGACTGCCAATTTATTGATCAAAATGATGGCACTACTAAAGTAGAGTGGTATGTGAGAGTGCCAGGAGACATAGACGAGTATATGCATTGTGTGCCAAATGAAGAATTCAAGGAAAAAAATGCATCAAAAGAGTTTAATGCCTTTATTGCAGCAATAGAGTCAAGAAATTACAACAAGGGTAGTATTATGCAGGGTTTTTGGCTGAGTAACAATTGCACAGAATCTAATAAGTCAAATATGCAGTCTTTTTCAATAAATAGCTTTCTAACAAGTAGGAGAGCTGAATATAGAAAAAATAGAAGTATAGAAGATATTGATTTAGAGATCATTAGAAAAGAAAATGAGAAAAATAAGATAGAAATAGAAGAGAATAACTTAAAACTGTCTAATACAAATAGTGATAAAGAGAACAAGAAGAGAAGTAGATTATCATCCCAAAAAAGTAAGATAAAAGAGAGCTTAAAATATTTATATGAAGAGAAACGTATAAAGATGTCTAAAAGCCCAAACAACTTAGAAACCGAGATCGTAGTTTTTCGAAATTTGAACTTAAGCAAATCCAACTTAGGAGCACACAATGAGATCCTTGATGTTTTCATTACATTATATAGACACAAGCGTGGTAAAAATCAATAAATAGGATCCATTATCAAGTATGATATTTCTGCCAACTTCACTGTACAGCTGTATTTCTAATATTCCTGCATAGCTACGCTTAGGAAAAACTAAGTTAAGAACTATCTCCTATTAGAAAAATTGTCTAACAGAATAACCCCTGTTCTAGGCTCTACTATGTAGAGTATTGTCTAGTTGAGTCAATTTAGTGCTTTTTTAGTCTATTCATGGCAAGAGATCATTAACCATTCTTTTTTTGCTCTAAGAAAACAGCTTTCATCATCTAAACATTGCAGTAAGCTCTCTACACCTCTTTTCTCCAATAACTTAAGAAGAATGTTCGTAATAACATCATCAGTCTTCTGAAATGTTTTCACTCCTAGCTGAGAGTAAATACTTACAAAAATAAAAGTAAATGCTAAAAGTGTACAGAAACAAATTTGAAAATAAAAATGTGCATTCTATTTTATTTTTTTGAATAGCTTCAGAGCATTCAAGAATGAAGTAGAAAAACTCTTCAATAAAGCTGGCAGATAAAAGGAATCTTTTAAACAGTATAAAGGATCACTAGGATGCAAAATAGAGCAGATAGGATATCTGAGAAGTAGTTCTATTTATCGAATAAGAAGCTATAATTGTGACACCGTCTGTGTCTGCATACTATAGACTCGTATAGCTTAAATTTCCTAGAGAAATGTCCAATATTTCTTTTCTCTTACTGCATTGAGTATTATCAAGTAAATGTGCAATCAAAATCATAAACACAAGAGTTATCAAATTTATTTTATACCATTACAACAATCCGCCTTCATGATAAGAGAAACAAGCAATAAAAATGAGAATTAATACCCATCTACACATATAAATATAAGAAACAGATTCGATTATAGTAGAGAATAAGTAGAAAAGAATAAAAGGGCATGAAATGAAAATGGTCTACATCTATTTACTGCGCACCGTTTCAACAGAAACTGTGCCATCCACTGTACAGTGCACAGATAGCTCTATTTCTGTTCTGTTCAGAGGCACTGCATACGTTCCACACACTTCCTCCATGTTCGCAGAGAGAAGAGTGGGGAATATGTAGAGATCTGGGGAGTATGGCCATATAAATGCGCTGGACACAGAATAGTCCACAGGAACATCGCTTGGAACGAAGGGAAGAAATGTGCTCTGATAGACGGAGTGGGTGATTATGTCCAGCATTCTTGTTTTTCTGTTTCGGCTGATCTCTTTGCGCGATATCCCCAAGAGCACATCAATGCTGGAAAGAGCAATTAAAACACCGTTCATGCTTATCATGCTCGGATTCTGCACTTCCACAAATAAACTGCCAGATATCTCGTATATCTCTCGAACAGCCTGAGCATCCGTGACAGAAGGCACAGCAGTATGTGATGCTCTATTGAGGTACTCTGTTGGATATGCCATAGTAGACTCAATTCCATCGTGAGCTGGCACACAGACTATTCTTATTTTTTTAGTAGAACACATTTCCTTGTACATCTCTCTTTCTTCTACAGGAATGTCTCCAAAGACTATCACCACATCAGAAGTGCTCTTTCTAACTAGCTCCAGGACAGCTTCAGAGTCTAGCTGTTTTTTACCACTGTCTAATGCATTTTCCTTATGAACTTTTATTCCGCTGTTCTGGAGTATTTCTTCATTCATCGCTTTTTTCGCATTAATAACGGCTACCGTAAACTGTGTCTCTTTCTCAGGCTTCATCACGAGATCTAGCACTTTATCATACACCACTGAGTCTACAACCACTTCTTCTCCTATTGGATTCACTCCCAGTATTTTTATTATTTGCCCAGAGTACACTGTGTAGTCAGCCAGCTCAGAAAAGTCCAGCTTTACAACCTCAGCTGTGCAATCAGGCTGCACACACAGCAGAAAGTATCCATTGCTGGCATACATCACCATTCCACAGTACATCTGCATTTGCACAGTCTGCCCTGTGACCACAGCATACCCCGGGCTATCTGCAAATATTTCCACTCGTTTTCGAATGTATGCGTAGAAGGAAAGGCTGAAATTGGGAAGAAATCTGTGCACACTCTTCACCGCACCCAGCACGCCCGCCTGATCTACCCTTCCCTCGCGTCTGTTCCTAACCAGCCATCTGCTTATTTCCTCGGCTCTGTCCATAAAATTAAATTGTCCGCAGAATAAAAGAACAGGCAGCAATGTGTTGTGTAGTCCACCTTTTCCTAATTTGTGGCTCCTGATAGCTCAGTGGTAGAGCATGCGACTGTAGAAATGGTTTCCCATTGGGGTTATCGCGAGGTCGGTGGTTCGACTCCATCTCAGGAGATTTTTTGCATTTCTACTTTTATTTTTTTATTCTCCACATGTTTCCAGAAGTGCTGAACAAAGTCGATCCCCCAAAGATGGAGAACATTCTGGTGGACAGAGAAACAGCAAATCTCTCCCCCCTGGAGTCAGCAAGAATTGCAGCAGCAGCGCACAAGACAATACGGCAGAATCTGCAGGCCGTGATACAGCCCGGAATGACGCTTCTTGAAATCGCAGAGTTCGTTGAAAACGGGACAAGAACAGTTCTGGGGCAGGGATACAACAAGGGCATAGGATTTCCCACGGGTCTTTCTCTGAACAGCTGCGCAGCGCACGACAGCCCAAACCCAAAGTCAAAACCCGTCGTACTGAAAGAAAATGATGTCCTGAAGGTAGATTTTGGCACACACATAAACGGATACATAATAGATTCAGCATTTACTGTCTGTTTTAACCCTGAGTACAACGACTTGCTGCTAGCGGCTAGAGAGTCAGTCTACGAGTGCTTAAAGATCGCAGGGCCTGATGCTCTGCTGAAAGACATAGGAGAAAAAGCAGAAGAGGTAATACGCAGCTACGAGCTGTGCATAGATGGGCGCCCTGTTCCCATACGCCCCGTCAGCAACCTCAACGGGCACTCGATAGATCGGTACAAGATACACGGCGGTAAATACGTTCCGATCATAAAAAACTCAGGAAACAAATCGAGAATGGAAACAGGAGAGTTTTTTGCGATAGAAACATTTGCTACAACAGGCTCGGGGTATGTGAATGAGAAAGGCGACTGCTCGCACTACATGATAAGCAACCCAAATGCGCCTTCAAAACTTGAGGGAGGAAAGTCTCTGATGAAATACATCCAGGACAAATTTAGCACTCTTCCGTTCTGCAAGAGATACATTGACCCGGTGGCAAACAAGTCTGCAGATGCGTACATCTCCTACCTCACGAAGATTGGCGCAATAGAGGACTATCCTCCGCTTTACGACGTGGCAGGCTCGCTAGTGGCGCAGTTTGAGCACACTCTCTACGTGACAGAGTCAGGGATAGAAGTGCTGTCCAAGGGAGATGATTACTAAATAAAGAAATCACTATAAAATTATTTGTTCAATATTTTTCAAAATGAAAATACTCAATCCCAAGGAGCAAACACAAAAATTCTCTTTATCCGCATCGTCGCACGATATTCCCAGACATTCTTATCCTTCAGAGTAAAATTTTTATCTTGTATTTATTTGATTTCGTGGTTATCTACTTCAGTACTTCGAGCGAGACTGTTTTGGAGCGGCCTAATTTACACTCTTGCAGCCTGTTTGAGAATCGCAGGGCTGTCACTGTCTCTTCAATCGATGCGCCCGGGTCTACGTTGATGATGAAGGCTGTCTTTGCCCCAGGCCCAAGCGTATTTTTCAGTATGCTCGTTAGCTTTGAGTTTCTGTAGGGAATGTGCGCTGTGTTGTTGGCTATGGCGTATACGACATCTCCCAGTGCAGTAAGACTTCTATTTATCTCAACGGCTTCTTTCATTCTCTCTCCCTCTGCCTTGGAGTGGTTCAGCCTCTCAGAGCCAGCGAGATCAGCAATGCACAGGCTTCCCTCGATGTACTCCATTGACCCAGTATCAGTGCTTCTCTGAATCACCAAGTGTATTGTGAATATCAGATGGCTTCTGCTGCTCCGCAGATTGCACTCTGTGCTTCCTATTTTTCTGTTTCTAGAGACCATTTTGAAAATGTCCGTTATTTTTTCAAGTGAAGGAGCATCTTCAATTGAGTTGATTATTTTGTCATTGTATATCTCCACGGCTGATATCCTCACTGCGTGCGTGTACCCCAGCACTTCCATTCTCCGCAGCTCAGACTTAAGCAGCTGTGCGCTCCTATACACAACGCCTTCTTCAGCACATGCAGCACATTGGCACGCACTTCCTATCTCGTGGACACAGCTTGCATCATTTTTCTTGTGGATGTGCGATGGCCCCTCCATGGAGTAGGTCTTTCCACTGCCTGTGGGCCCGTATGCCAGTATGCTTACATTGTATCCCTTGGTAACGGCATAGACGAGATCTTCTATTTCACTGAAGAGATCTTGCTGCGTGGTCTTAGGAGAGAGGACTTTGCTGCATCTGCTTACAAAGGACTTAGACGGTATTTCTATCGTGTCGTCAGTCAGTAGCACTTTTTCATTCGATACAAACGGCTTTATTCTCGTTACCACGCGTATAGCTCCTTTCAGCTGCAGTATCTCGCACAGCTGTGCCTTTATCTTACTCTCTGTCTGCTCTTTGAAGCGGATAAATGTCTGGTTTTGTGTTTCCATCTGCTCGCTCATTTTTTCAATCTGCAGAGTCAGCATGGCGATGGTTTTTGCGCTTTCAGCTTCATTTTCGTTTTCCTCTGTTTTTATTTTTGCTTCTCTGTTCTCCTCTGTCTCCCTGCTCTCTTTGAGCCTTCTTACTTCCTCTCTGAGCAGCTTTATCTCCATGTCCTGGCTGCTCGTGTCTTTCTTCAGGATTTCCGAGATGTTGTTCTTCATCGCGTATTTGAGGTTGGAGGTGTTCATCTCCATGTTTGTCAGAATGTTTGAGAGCCTGTCGGTGTTGAAAGACATGCAGCTTAAAAAAACAAAATAATAAAAGCACAGGCGACGGGACTCGAACCCGCAATCTTCTGATCCGAAGTCAGACGCGTTACCATTACGCCACGCCTGTTATCTTCTAAAGACACGGGAGGAGGGAACGTTCTTAAGTAAAAGAAGGAAAAAAGAGGAAAGGCTTGCATAGAACGAATGATTTATTGGTGCTGGTTTTTATATTTTACAACAAATGTTCTTACTATATGCTCTACCACAGCTGAGCAAAGAAGGGATATTTAGCTCTTAGTGGCAGTGCAATAGCTTACACACTAGTAGTAGTTAATCTCTGCTCCATCGCTGCTTGTGATCCGGTTTATCCTTTTCGAGGTTTCTTCTACCACTGCGTTGAAAGCTGTCACTAGAGAAGACTGCGAGTATGCCTGCACATCTGCTATATGGTAGAAGGGCAGCTTGTTCTCACTGAACATCGATACATACACTCTTTTGCCGCCCAAAACCACAGGAATGTTCTCCAGCAGATCGTACTTAATACAGATGCCTAGCGTACTCAGGAGAGCTATTCCCGTGGTGGAGTATGCCAGACACATAACCCACCAGTCAAGCTTTTTCCACTGATCAGTCTCTATTTTCACCTGCATTTTCTCGTACGAGCACCCGACATACAAAAATATTCCAGAAAACATTCCCACGTTGCAGGCCATCAGCACAGAGAGAATCTCGTCTCTATTTTCCCCAAAACTTGCGTATATCGCGGGAATAGATAGGGCACAGAGGATGGCCATGGCGTAGTAGGCGTATTTGAAGATGTTGCTTATCCAATACTTCTTTCCATACACATATCTTCTTCCTTTTTTGCTGTAGGTGCTCAGTAGGCCAACGATACCCACTGCGCTGCACACAAAGTACATCCATTTTATGCACGACAGATTTTCTGTGAGCTCGCTTGCTCTGAAGAATATGTCGCATCCGTATGCACATACAAGGAATAAAAAGCCTGCTGAGAGAATGTTGAATGCCATGTTAACGTAGTGCACTTCCATTTTCAAAGAAACAACGAAAGCGCGGAGCACTCCCGATGAGTATATCAAGATGGGAATGACTGTGAAAAATACGCACGCATCACCAAGCAGAAGGTTCAGAATAATTCCGGCAATTGTTGTGATTGCAAAAAGAGGCCAAAAAAGCCATCTATTTTCCAGAATCTTATCCAAAACCAGATTGTACACTTCCTGCTTGTTTTCGCTTGTTGGCGTGTGGTCCAGCATGTGGATGCTTTCTTTGTCTGTAAAGAGGTCGTTTGCATTGAGGTTCAGCCTGATAAAAGACACACGTGCCTTGGGATTTGTGTGCTTTGCAATGGCATACGCTATCTCGTCTGGCAAGTCAGTGTCTATCACCAGCTCCACGGTAGTGGCCATTGCGAACAGACAGGCATCTGCGTATGTCAAAAGGTCTGTGGAGTACACACACTCTTCAAGAGAGGTGTAGCCAAACTCGGCTGTGCACTCGTCTGGGTTTCTTTCGTTTTTATTGATGATCCACATCGGAATTATTTTTTCTTTTGCTGCTGCAATCAAAGGATGGAGGTGCACAAGCCGAATGCTTAGGAACCCAAAGTGCTCGGGGTCGTGCGCGCTCATGCAGTGGTGTATCCTGCTGTATTTGTCGCACTTGGAGTATTTCCAAGGCTTTTTTTTGTTTTGTGTGTCGTACTCTTTTTCTGTTTCGATCACTGGGTGGTAGTTGTACTCCAAAAATGAACTGTCGAGTTTTTTTAGCGTTCGGGATATAGCATGTATGCCTTCCTGCGATGGGAATGTATTTATAAATTTTCTCAAATTGGAGAATAGCATATCCGAGATCTCTTCTGTTTCAAGGGTGTCTCCTCCTTCTGTGAGCAAAAGATGAACATCCAGCAGATCGTAGAAGTACTCCTGGAAGTCCTGGAGTGTTTTGAAGCTGGGTGAGTTTGCAGCCGAATAGTTTTTATCGTACAGTTCATACAAAATATCCAGCACCTGCACCAGTCTTTTTTCATCTCTTGTTTCGTCAAAAAGAAGAAGAGAGAGAAAGTGTGCATCCAGAGCGTCAGCTAAGTCCCTATCTCTTTTTTTATCTCCGTGATAGTCCTTTACAGAATCAATGAACTTATCAATTTTTGATAGATAGTCAATGTGTGTGCTGTCGTAGTTGTAGATTAAAAGACGCTGGATTTTCTCAGAAATACTCTTGTGGTTTTCTTCTATGCTCTTTCTATTCATGGCATAGAACATACAGACGATCTTATTGAGCAAAAAATAGTTTCTGTTCTGAAGCTTCGTAAGAGTGATGTTCTTGTACGAGACAGCGTACCTCGGGGATGCCTCAAATGCAACTTCTTCTCTTTTGACTGTTATCTCTTTATGGTGCTCGAATGACTGGCTTTCTCTTATTTTTTGCAGTTTTTCGATGTGTTCTGTGCTGTTTACGAGAAGTTTTTCTGCTTTTTCAATCAGCAGGTTTCTCTCTTTTTTCACAATCTCTCTGTTTTCCAGCTCGCGGTCGTGCTTGCTTCTGTAGAACTCCATTTTCTCGAAAAGATCAGAGGTTTCCTTGGCGCGCGAGATCTTCTGCAGAACAGAGGAGTGCTGGCTATACATCTCAGACTCTTTCTGACAAAGGTAGTCTAGTGCGCCTGCCTTACCGCTTTGTTCTTCTTGGCACTCTTCTGCTTTTGCTTCATCGTCTATTTTCATTGCTATACTTTTTATTGTGCCAAAGGTCTCTTCTATTGAAATTTCGTTATTTTCTATTCTTTCTTCCATTTTTTTTATTTCGCTTGAAGTGTCTAGTAGGATCTCTAGCAGCCTGTCTGTCTGTTTTTTATCATACGAGGAGACTTCTATTCGTCTCTGCAGGACCAATATTCTTTCTCTTGTTTTTCCCAGTTTAGTGCAGAGCTCTGCTAAGTTGTCGGTGTCTCTGTTGATGTTTAAACACTCTTCCGTCTCTTGCTCATCGAACGCGTGCACTCTGTACAGAAGTAGAGCGCTTAATAACACTACTTTGATCAGATTCATTTGGATGTGAAATAAAAATTTACACTTTTATGTTCTGGAGGCTACTAAAATTGATTTATTCATTTTCCTTAACTATTTATTTGGTATTTAATTAGTCCGAGGGCCAGCAGAGGCAGAATAATTATTTATTTTCTGGCTAAATTTTAAAATATTCTCTTTCTCTAGGAGAGCCATACTGCCAGACTTTCTATGGATGATTTTTCTGTTTTTTATTTTAGGCCTAATAAGCTCTACGTGTGGTAAATAAGCGTATACTTATCCTGTTGGGTGTAAAAGCGCACTAACTATGAGAGTAGAGATATGCCCATATAGGAAAAAGAGAAGAGTCTAGAAAGAAGAAATTGCTTAAAAACATGCAGAATAAGTAGAAGGGTTTCCATGAATAAGCTTCAACTTTAGAAATGAAATTAATTTATGTTAGAATATTTATTTTATTTTCTGATTAGTGTAAAGTATGTCTAATATTTAAGCATAGAGTAGTCTTGGGCTGTTCTTAGAGTGTCTAAGAAGCAATGCTCAACTCCACCGCTAAAACACTCTTTTCCTAAGATTCTACCTTTCATTTGCTTCATGCTACCGGTCTCTTTCCTCCTAGACCAATAAGCTCGGGCTCTGTCTCTATTGGTGGTGTGTGCAGAATAGCTTCTGTTTAAATCAAATTGATTGGAGAACTATACAATAAAATTTTTTGGTTTTTTCACAAATAAAATACAACTTTACTATAAATTACAGAATTTTTTATTTTGCATGAACAGAATAATAAGCTTTATTGTAGGAGCAGTGGTGGTACTGCTGGGTTTAATAGCAGTAGTGCTGAGAATGACTCAAAAAGAGCCAGAACTCAGGGAAAACTTCACAGATGTTATAGAAGAATTTGTCAAGAACGATGGCTTTATTTTACATGAGGACGTAGACACGGATAGATGCAGCCTCACAGAAGAGGAAAGACATTTGATCTATTCAATATACAGTCTTAATCAAATTAACCATCTTAAGTTAAACATAAACAGCACTGTAGAGGCTGGAAATGAAACACTGAATCCAACGCCAGAACAGGTCATGAGTGCTCTAAAAGATAAAAGCAAAAAGGCAACTTTTGTTTTTACAACAGGTGCATTAGATGCTCGTTCCGGAGTGAATAAAGCATTTTCAAGAATTACAAAAGAGAAAACGTCATATGCCGACTCCATTCTAATGACTAAGTCAGTAGAAGACTGGAAGCGCGCGCTTGAAACTTACGATGCAGATGAAGAAGAGTTAGCGGCTGAATTGGAGAAAAACAATAAAAAAGATGATGATGAAAGTGCGTACGCTGTTCTAGAACATTATTTGCAAAAGCCGTTCGAAGACTTCATAAAGGCCTTCAAGCTCATGTGCAGATCTGACATCTACAAAGATAAAATACTGGTAAAAGAGTTCACTACTGAAGCAGATGTGAAGAACTTCTTCCTCGTGAATTATAAAAACAATCTAGACGAGGAGGAATTTGCAGCTGTAGTAGACAAATGGAAAAAAGAAAAAGAATTTGAAGAAACAAATAAATGCAAAGAATGGGGCTGGACAAATGCAATTACTATAACCAACAATTCAGACCCTGATGATTCAGAAACTGTGCTAGTTGCCTGCGAATTAGGCGGGGCCTTAGGGTGCACCATGAGCAGGCCTCTGGAATTCAAGCTAGACAACAGGTATGTTACAATGCTAGTGCACTTGATGTGTGGAAAGACATTCCCCACCTCAGGAACAAAATACGAGCATTTTGCACTGCTAACGAACAACTATGAAAAAGTTAATAACGAAAAGTACGCAGCTGAAGTGTTCAAGCTAGCCATAAACAGAGACAGAGCTCCTGTTATAAAAGGGTACAATGTGAATGAAAGCAAGAATGGCAAAGCAAACTTAAAAGCTGCTCATGAAGCAGTAGTAACTTCAAACAAACTTAATGAAGTTCTGGATAGATTATTCGTTAAGAGAGATCGGTTGGATATTCTTTACATAAAGTTTTATGAAAATTCACTGGGCATTCTAGGATACATTCTTAAAGAAAGCGAATACGTGGAGCAAGACCATGTGAAGGACGTAGAACACATGCCTGTTTTCCTGCCATTAAATCTGACGCCTAAGCGTTTTACGACACCAGGCGGAGTCTATCCTTTGTATCTGACTGTCAATGAAAACGAAAAAGATGGCACAGTGCCTAAGAATCAAAAAGCACTGGAAAGTCTTTCAAAAATCAATGAGGCTCCCATAGTGATGTGGAAGAACATAATTGAAAGTACTGATTTAATGGGAGATAGTTACGAGCAACGGGTGTTTTACATTCGAATTATTAAGTCGCTATTGCCAAAGAAGCTATTAAACAAGCTGAACAAAATCGAAGAAATCAAGAAAATGCCTGCGGGAGACGACACTATCATTCTTACATACAGTATAAGAATGCCTTCAACTGAGAGCTACCAAAAAAGCACTGATTTGTTCGAGGGCTATGATTTGCTTAACCTGCTAGCAAACTTTTCTGCGTAATTATCTGCCAGCCAAGGGCTATATTTATCCTGCAGAAAAGCATCTGTATGCTGTAGCAAAGATCATTAGTTCTGATACATCAGAATAAAATAAATGAATCTTTCTCAACTCTATCTATTTCATTATTGTATTATCATCTTTCCATCTTATCCAAGTCCTATTTACGCGTTCGGCATAAAAATGCCTTCTTTTTGCCGCTGAATGCCTCTTATTTTCTCTTTTAGCTCTAGAACTGTGAATAAAGGAAACAATTTTACTAATAAAAATGCTCTGTAATCTAATCAAAGCAATACTAACCAATCTAGCGCTTGCACCACCAACTCTCTACCAATTACCTGCTATCAATTATCAATGAGATTTAACATGCATTGTAGAAATAATCTGTTTTCGCATAAATAGAAATAAAAGTAGAAAAAATAAAATGAGTATTGTAATTTTACTTTATTCCAGACTAGTTTATAAAGTAGAATTTTCCTGTGCTTGATGGCTCTTGGCCTTCTGCGTGCTCAGATCCACTTGGCGTAAAAACCTCTGTAGAATACCCAGGCGTGTCTGTCTGTGTTGCATTAACCAGAGATATTCCCGTGTGCTTTTCTTTCTTGATCAGGCCTTTCCAGTGCTCGTTCGTTTCCTTAATGATCTCAATGGCTTCTTCGGCTGTGAAGTACTGCTCTTCATTCGCAAACTCGTTTTTACTTCCCGAGTTTCCCTCTTTATCCGCAACTTTGTAGTTTCTGAACCACTCTCTGGTCACTGACAGCAGCCCAGGCTTGTACTTTTCCACATCCTCCAGCGAGTTCATCTTTCCAAAGAGCTCATCTTCTGTGTTTATCACCAGCACCTTCCAGTCGCACTCTCCTCCATCTATCATGGCGATAGCACCGAGCACTTTGGCCTTGTATACCTCGCCTGATCCAATGATCCTGTCTCCTATCTCTATTGCATCAATGGGGTCGTTGTCTCCCTTGATTTTTGTCCTTGTGTCCTGCACTTCTGTGCTCTCCCATGTCTGCGGAATGGCTCCGTAGTTCCAGATGTATCCTTTCATTGGGTACATGTTCTTGACAAATCGCACGCTTCCATTTTTTACATCCTGCTTGATTGGGTTGTACTCAAGCTCTTTATTGATTTCCTTCTTTGCGTTGCTGAATCTAGGGATTTCGTTCACTACATTCACCAGCTTGAAATCGTCGCACGAGGCAGGAATGTCGTGGAAGGGAGAAATAACCTTGTCGTCCAGTGTTATGTACGCCGCGTAATCTGCTGTGTATTCTGTTCCAAACTCTTTTACTTTGTATGCCATGCGGTTTCCTTGAATTGTAAAAATTTGCAAAACTAGCAACAATAGAAGAATTTAAGCCTTTTCCCAGACATTGTTTCTTCTTTGTGTTTTACAATGTAATTTGCTATTTCCTTAAACGTCTCTTTAACGTTCATTCGCGTGAGCGCCGAGCACTCGGAAAAATACTTTGCGCCTATTTTCTGCGCCAAGTCCTCTCCTTCCTTTGTGCTTACGAATTTATCCAACTCAGACGGCGGCGCGTTGTTCCGCACGTCTGCCTTCAGCCCCATCAGGAAGTACGGGACGTTTTTGCACAGATTCTGGATCTCTGTCAGCCACTTTTCCTCGATGTTTCCCAGCCTGTCTTTTTTCTCGATTGAGTAGCAAATAACGATCAGATTGGCGTTGCTGTAGGAGAGGGGACGCAGAGCGTCGTATTCGTCCTGTCCAGATGTATCCCACAGAGTTAAGACCACCTCGCCGGCCTCCACTTCTTCCTTCATTACGAAGTTGTCCACAATTGTGGGGACATAATCCTCTGGGAATATTCCAGACTTGTACACCTCTAATAAACATGTTTTGCCGCACGCACCATCGCCGATCACTACTATCTTTGCTCTGTGTGTTTCTTTCTTCTTTGCCATTGATATAAGCCAACTCCTGTCTCCGAATATAGAAGAGAAAACAGAGTAACCAATCAAAAAAAAATCACATAAAATCGCGTAACCAATCATTGCGCAGATTAATGCGCAGATGAGTCTGCAATAAAGAAGGCCTCTGGTGTGTATATTGTTTTCTAGCTGTCGGCGAATGAAAAACACCTCTGCAGAAGAGAGCCCCAAGTGGAGAAAGAAAAATTGCACCAAGAAATAACTAAAATAACAGCACAGAGAACGGTCTAGTGGAAGAGCTGAGTGTGCATAAGAATATTCATTATTTGTAAGCACTTGTATAGATAGCAGTGATAGTGCCATCTTATACTAGCACATGTCACATTGATTATCAGCTCTATCCTAGTCCACCATCTCAATACCAATGACTAACTCAGCGCCAAATGCACACTGCTACACTGTTGTAGTACAGTTGCAATGCTAATTCAGCACTGATGAGCCATATTATTCTCAGGCTGTACAAACACTGCTAAGTCAAGGATCAGCTACAGTTTATCTGCAATTTCATTGCAATTCTGCTGTGCACGTTCATCTGAGGCTGCTGTATTGGAGTGGTACAAGAATATTAAAGTAGAGTAGTGCCAAATTCTTTTTATTATCCTTTTTTCAGGGCCAGGCATATTTTCTTCATGGTTTCATAATTTAGATCTTCATACTGATTAATTTGTACAAGCTTTACTGCTGTCTTGAGGCTGCCTATAAACTGCTGAAGATGGAACGAGTATAAAAACTTCTCTTTTACGGTGAATCCATCGGGAATTAGCGTGAATAGGAACAGCGCAGAGCGCGGCGTGCCGTCGCTGTGGTTGGCCTCAAAGTCAAAGAGAGCGTAGCAGCAGCCGTACTCCTTCACCTGCTTCTTGAACTGCTCAAACTGCCCCTCCAGCTCGCTTTCCTGCTTTACTATGAACTTATCTAAGGCGCTTGGGTTATCTTTTAATTCTTTTATTTCATATTGCGTGGTGTTTGTTCCCTGGAAGCTGAATACCATGTACAGCAGCTCTTTTCTTCTTACTTTTTCGATGTGCTCTAGGACTGTGTTAAAATTCTCTCCAAGCTCTGCCATTTTGTTTTGTTGTAAAAGAAAAAAAGAGTGCTCCTAAATAGGAGACATAATTGGCCCACACTTTTTAAATTTATTTTGTTTCATGTTCGGCTGATGGGTAGACAAACAAATAAATCATAAAAGACAAACAGAGCAGAATCCAGCAGAAGGAGCTGAGACTCAGATGACTGCTTGAATTTGCGTGGTGTAATTGATGAGATCTTTTCTTTGTCTTTTTGGCTCTTCAGCAGATCATTGAATGTCTTTTCACACCTTATTTGTAATGGTTCTATCTTCATATACTCACTCATCATTGACTGATCATCTGCGAGTGATCTTTATCGTTCTTTTTATCGACGAAAAGCATTCAATAAACTGTCTTTCTCTACTGGATGGTATATGCATATCTAAACTTAACTCAACTGATGCAAACTGGCAAAGAGAATGCCCATAGTTCTATGTGTATATCTTTTATTGTAGTATATCTTTATTTATGTGTGCTCTACGTCTATTTATTGGCACACTTCGCGTATTTTACTGTTTATTCTCTATTTCATGCCTGCATTGCCCTAGTATTTTCTTTTTTTCATTATTTTTTCTTTTCTGTTTTCTTTCTTTTTTATTATTATTCCCTGCTCCCTCAGACTTTCTCTTGTCTCTATCTCTTCCTTCTTTTCTCTGCTTCTGAGGACCTTCTGGTGTCTGTACGGAGTCTTCGTTTTCTTCCACTTCAGCCCCACGTCTTTCAGCGTATCTCTTAGACACCTGATTGTCTCGCTCCCTCCTATTCTCTGTGCTGTATACTTTCTCAGCTGCGGTATTATATCTTTGATTCTCTCGTTTGGCTCTCTTCTGTTTTTTGTTCCATTTATTTGCGCCATGAAAATATTTGCAAATGCCAGAAGTTAACCGTGTAGCAGAGCACTACAACAACATAAAAAGTCTGGGAATTGAAGGACGAAAAGTCTCTGAAATCATTGCGGTCCGCGAGGTAAACAACTTTATAAAGCTGAAACTGATCGAGAAATACATCCAGAAAAACCACACGGTGTTCGACATGGGATGCGGAAAGGGGGGAGATCTCTCAAAGCTGAAGTACGCGAACATCAAAAAGTACTACGGATGCGACATAGCAGAAGACTCCCTGAAGGAGGCCTTGGAAAGATCGCTCTCCCACAGATTCAAGATAAATCTCATGAACGCTGATTTTACAAAAGATAAAATAGTTTTGGAAGATAAGGTAGATCTCGCGATGTCCCAGTTCAGCTTCCACTACTCTTTTGTAGATGAGGTGTCTGTGAGAAAAGCAGTGATGAACGTGTGCAATAACCTGAAAAAAGGAGGAGTGTTCATCATGACAGTTCCTGATAAGAATGTAATAATAAGAAGATCAGACAGAAACACAGTGGACGGGTCATTTGGCAATAAATACCACAAGATCACCATCAACAGCTCGTTTAAAACAAACAAGCTCTTTGGCAGGGGGTACAACTTCTTCCTGCACGAGGCAGTGACGGGATGTGAAGAGTATCTAACCGACATAGAATACTTAACAGATCTTTTCAGAGAAAAAGGGCTGGTAAAAATCCTGGACACAGACTTTCTGTCGTTTTTGAACAGCGAGATGAACAACGATCCAGCAACCTACAAGAGAATGGTAAAGAATACGCTATCAAAGGAAGAAGTGCCAATAATAGAACTGTACAGAGCTGTGGCATTCAGAAAAGAAGCATGAATAAACCGTACTGGTGAAAAATAAAAGAGCAAAAAGTAGAGGAGAATGGGATAGAGATAAGATAAAATATCTCTGCAGCTGTCTGTGTGCTAGCCAGACAAATAATAAATAGTATGCGGTGTTCTTTCTGGTGCCATCATTTGCAGCATTTTATTTCTTCTTTTGGGCAGAGAATATAGCTCGATTTTTCATTTTTCTTTCATTTTTTATTTTTTATTTTTTGCTCTCCCATGCTAGGATTATACTGCGGTGGACTGCTCAAAAGAAAAAACCACATCAAGAGAAAGGCAAGCAAGAAGTACAAGGCAAGACTATTGGGAACAAACATTCTGAATGACCCAATCGTGGGAGCACCCCAGGCAAAGGGCATTGTGTTGGAGAAAATTGGTCTGGGAGCAAAACAGCCTAACTCTGCCGTAAGAAAGGCCGTTAGAATCCAACTCATTAAAAACGGAAAGAAGATCACAGCCTACGTGCCAAAGGACGGTATGCTGAACAGCATAGAAATCAACGACACCGTAACAGTCGAAGGATTCGGTAACAAAGGAAGATCAAAGGGAGATATTCCCGGAATCTCTTTCAAAGTCAGCAAGATAGGTGATGTATCTCTTATGGCCATCTACTTGGGAAAGAAGGAGAAGTCTTCAAGATAATTAATAAAGATTAATAAAGTATCATTTAATTCAACATATCCTCCAAAAGATTTGCAAACTACCGTGAAAAGATGAAGAACTGGCATCTGGTAAGATACAATACATTACTCTCTTTATTCATTCGATGCATTCTGTGCATTGGACTCTTCGAGAGACCTTCTAATGGCTAGCTCCAGGTCAGGATCAGTTTCCTCTATGCTTTCTCTAAGCCCAGCCGACACTCCCTCCATAAACGAGTCGTTTTTCTCTATGGGAATGCACACAAAGTCCGATGACTCTTCTATGGAGTTTTTAAAGGTGCTGTAGTACTCCAGGGCTTCGCCAAACAGTATCAGGCCAACAAAGATTCCGTTGTTCAGAGTTTCTTCAACTGAATCAATCGTAAGCATGAGATTTTCATCGTCCAGCGGGCTTCCCAAAAAAAGAAGAACACTTTGCATGGGGCTTGTCCTGTATTTCAGGGCCATTCGGGAGATGAGCATAGCATTTCCCCCGTGAATGTTTTCGTCTCTTTCTATCGAGTGGAGGTAGGAGTATATCGTATTCTTGTTCGAGGTTGGTGAAACTATTTTTATTGTTGCGCTTCTGCCAAGTGTCATTACGCCTATCGTTGACTCTGTCGCTTCGTTCAGTCTTTTTTCTGTTATGCTCTTTATTGCATCCAGCTGGCACTGCAGTCTTTCTTTCGAGTAGTCTTTGTTTATGCTGTACATTGAGTTGTCCACTATAACCATCAAGTCACTCTTCATTCCCGGAATAAAAACAAAGAATAAAAATATAAATTTAATAGTAGCAGCAACAAGAATGAAAAAGAGTATAGAAATGCTGCTGGAGACGTACAAGAGCCTCGGAATATACAAAGAACAGAAGGGCAGAGTGGCAAGGTACTCTGACAAGTACAGAAAAGACAAAGACGGAACTGTTAACATCATAGCAGCGATCCACAACAGATCAGAAGAGTATCCGAACGAGCTGGTAGAGGCAGGCTTTGGGCACGGGTCAAAATACAAAACAAAAGGAGCAGCAGAAGAGCTGATATTCACAACAAAGATAGACAGCGAGGTGGAAGAGTCAGAAGAGAGCGAGAACAAAGAGCCCTCAGAGAACGAAGACATGGAGAATGACTACATGGAGAACTACTACGACAACGACGAAAGAGAAACAGAAGAGGAGGAGGAAGATGTAATGTAATAAAATATTCAGTAGCTTTTAGACAGTAGATAGTAGATGAATAATAATAATAGAATAATAGTAGAGATAGTAAAGATGATGGAATATTGATAGAGATAGTAAAGATAAAAACAGCACTAATGATGATAGTGATAAAGACAGTGATAAAAGGTGAAAGTATGAGTGATAAAAGATAGAAATCTGAAATGTTCTTAATGGCAAAGACTATTTACATGGCAGTTGAATAATTCGCAACTAGAGACCTTTACTAGCCAGTAGAAACTGAGATAGATTGGTGACGGTTGCTACTAATAACATTTACATTCTTACACTCTCATGCTTTTTAACCTGCTTCTTATTATTAGCACACTTTTTTTATTTTATTTTTATGACGTACTCTCAGAATACTCCCGTGCTCATTCTCAGAGAAGAAACGGACACTCGGTTTGGCAAAAATCAGATTGTGAGAAACATTGAAATGTGCGAGAAGATCTCTGATATTCTCAAGACCACGCTGGGCCCAAATGGCCTTGACAAAATGTTCTTCAATGGAAACGACATGCTTATTACGAATGATGGCGCTACAATAATGAAGAGTCTTGAAATAGTTGACCCTGCAGCACAGGTCCTGCTGAATATCTCAGAGGCACAGGACAGAGATATAGGCGATGGGACTACGAGCGTGGTGATACTCTCTTCTGCGATCCTGAGAAAGCTAAAGCCCCTTGTAAAAGAAAACACTCCTATCTCTCTGATAACAAAAGAGCTCAGCAGACTCGTGAAAGTCATCACAAATATTTCAAAAGAAAGACTGATTGCCTTTGACAACGAGTCTCTGCAGATTCTTGCAGAAACAAGCCTGAACTCAAAGATACTGAGCAACCACAAGAAACATTTTAGCAGTCTTGTGATTAAAACACTAAAGGCAAAAGACAAAGACATTTCCATAAAGAAGGTAAGCGGAGGGTCTATAGAAAGCAGTTTCATAGTAAATGGAGTGGCTTTTGAGAAGTGCTTCACATACGCAGGATATGAGCAGCAGCCCAAGAGAATTCTCAATCCAAAAATAGCAGTGATGAAAGTGGAGCTTGAGTGGAAAAGTGAAATTGAAAACAGTGAAATGAGAATCTCCGGGGCCTCAGAGTATTCAAAGGTTGTCTCAACAGAATGGAAGCTGATCACAGACAGACTGGACAGAATCATCCAGTCAGGCGCTAACATTGTGCTTAGCACTCTTTCCATAGGAGACTACGCCACACAATACTTTGCCAAATACGGCGTATTCTCTGCAGGAAGAGTTCCAGAGCAGGAGATAAATAGAATTACCACGGCCTTTGGAGGGAGAGTGATCAGCACTGTCTCTTTGATCAGCGATGCATCGCTGAGTAAATGCGCGCTTTTTGAAGAAAAAGAGATAGGAAGAGTCAGGTACAACCTATTCTACAATTCACAAGACAAGTCAGATACGTCATCAGTGGCAACAATAATCCTCAGGGGGCCAGGGGCTGAAATACTTGCGGAAGTAGAGAGAAGTCTGCACGATTCCATGGCTGTAACAAGAAGAACAGTTGCTAGTAAGGAGATTGTTGTGGGCGCAGGAGCGTATGAAATGGAAATAAGCAGAGAGCTGCGCAAACTATCCGGTAAATGCAGCACAACTGAAAGATTTGTTATTAAAGCTGTTTCTGAGGCCTTTGAAGCGATTCCCTTCCAGCTGGCCAAGAATTTTGGACATGATGCCATAAATACAGTCCAGATGCTCAGAAAAGCGCATGGAGAAGGGCTGGTGCACTACGGAGTGTCAGAGGAAGGAGTTGAAGACTCGTTGAGTGCGTACGTTATTGAACCGCTGCAGGTCAAGACACACATGGCAAAAGCAGCGATTGGGGCAGCCATTGCCATCCTTTCCATTGACTCAACCATCGTAGCAGGAAGTAAACAGCAATAAATTATTATTATACTCAATATTGTATTTTCTATCGGTTATTTTTCTGCTAGCTGGATGTTCAGCTAGTTGCAGAGAATTAAAGTTTTGCTAAATTCAGCGCTTATTTTTTTGTTTTTGCTACTTGAGAATAAAAGAAAATAAAAGCTAAGTGTATGCTATTGGTAGAATTTTGCTTTTCTTTTTTATTTCCAATAAGTAGACTACTCAAAAAATTATACACTTAAATGTGCAGTGTAGAGGTAGAGATCAAATGATCCTAAAAGATAGTTTAATTGAGGTATAACTTAAAACAACCAAAGAAACCAATGTCTAGAAGCAATGTCTACTTTCTAGTTGTAGTAAAGCAGTATAAAATTATAGATTAGTTTAGCACTTATATTTCTGAATCCACTTTAGTTTTATTTTTATTTTTTCACCACTCTTTGAAGGTTGTACCGCGAGATCAAAACATCAAGAATCTCGTTGTGCGCTCCTAGAATGGACTTACTCTCATTCACTTTCCGGAAGACCACAAACTCAGCCTGGCAGTCTAGCTCTTTGGATACGTTTTTGTATAGAAGCTCCTTGTACAGAGCCTCTAGTTTAATCTTTTCTTTGCTTTTTGCCGCATTTGCTGCTTTCTTTTGGTTTCTTACTTTCGCTGTGTCTTTTTGTTTATTCAATTTACCTAGCTTTCTCCACTTCTCTCCGGCCTTTCTAAACTTTTCCTCTATCTTACTTATCTCCCATCTGAGATACTCTATGCACTTTCTATTCGGATCGTTCTTATTTTGTCTGGTTGGATGCAGATTGTATATAGT